ATAAATTTGAAATTGAACTTTAAAACTTAATTTGACCCAAAATTGGAGTTTGAATATGAAAAATTAATTTGAATTTCTATTGGGCCTAAGTGATTCAAAATTGAATTAGATTATGCTTCGGCCGATGCAAGATAATTAAAAAATAATCAATCCGAAACAAAAATTAATCAAGCTCAATTAGATAAATCCAGTTAAAATGTTTAAATTAACTCAAGTCAAAATGTGTCTAAAATCAAACAAATTCAAATTGATTCAAATAATATTATTTATCAACACTTTTTAAGCATTTTTCATGAAAACATATTTTTCTATATGCTTATAATTGAAAAAATTATCTGCGAAAACATAAACCCTGAAAATTCCAACATCGTGAGCCGTGTTAGCCGCAATCCCCAATCTAAGTCTCCAACCACCACTTTCAATAACGACAAATACAACAACCAAAACAACACGTCTATCAAATCCTCTCCAACAAGGACTATAAAAAAATTAGAGGAGAAATACGGAAAAAATTATTAATTAAGAATTATAAGTTTTACTCAATATTTTTTATTAAAATTAATAGATATTTATTAAGGAAGGCTTTAAAACTTTTAAATTTGTTTAATAATGAGGTGCAACCTATTATTCATTGATAATATAAAAAATTCATGCACTATAAATATATCAAATATAAATTTTTAAACAATAAATATTTTCTTGAGTCATTTAACAATCATTAAATAAATAATTAACATTATTAAAAGAAATTTATTTTATTATCTAGTAACAGTTTGATATAATATTTCCAATAAAAACATAAAAAGAAATTTTGTTAAAAATGACATGATTGATAATTATATACTAACTATTTAATTCAAACATACAACATTCAAAATAAAGGTTGTATGTTATAATATATATTTAGGTAAATTAACACACTTCTTTCGACCAAAACGTAAAGTGACATAATTTGCGGTAAAAGATTTCTATAATTTAATTTTTAAGTTAGCAATTTAGAACAATATTGTTGAAAACGAAATCACACCTGCCGTGAGTTGGAGGAGTTAAAGTTTCGTGAAACTAAAAACTCAATGATTTTTAGAGCACTTGAAGATAATTCTTTTGATAAAAAAAAAGATGACATGTTTCGGAAAATGCTTTTGATTTAGCAAGAAAAAAATTTAAACTTTATCCGATACATCTTCTTTTTTAACATATTCAAATATGCTTTCGAAATTTAGAACATCAAAGAGAAGACTTTGACAAGACGTACATGGAGAATAATATTGCATTATATTTATCTCCAATAAGGTTTGTTCCATTTTTCCACATTTCGCTAAAAACAAAAATATCTTCGTCTTTCTATATATTAAGTTGATCTCAATCAATGTCACAAGTGAATTAGACAGCAACAAATGGGAAGCTCTGCAACAAGTAAGCGCAATTTTGGGCGGCTAAGCAAAAGATCTTCCTTTTGAACAACTGTTAACAAAATCTTCCATTCTGTACTATTTTTTCTTTTAGGAATTGTCTTGTCTATTCGGACATATGTCTTTCCTTCAACCTAAAATAATAGACCTACTAAACCCTCGAAACAAAACCATTAATCAATCTATAACTATAGATTCATGATTTTAAACGAACGAATGTAAATGAAACATTGGAATCCCATTTTTTTTCCCCATTTCAAAGTCTCTGTCAAGTGGTGATTGTTCATCGAAACGTGGAGAGAACTCGACCTTGTCAACCGACCACGTGCCCCTTGTCCTTTTCATGGTTGAGCCCTTCAAATGAAAACTTCATGTCGAAAGCTTCTTACTGTACTAACCAAAAAAGAAAGAAGAAAAGAATGAGAAAAGAAGTGAAATTACTGAGTACGAGTAAAATAAAAGCAAAGTGTGATTAAACTGAGAATGACACTTTGATAAATGTCGCCATATAACTTCTTCTAAGTCAACTATAGAATTTCCTTTCCATTGTACCTTTAATTATTTCAGTCTTTTTAGCATAATAGGCAAGAGTAGAGAGGAATTGAAATATTGAAACTTCTTTCCGACGAAAGGACATCACAATATCTGGTAAGTACTTTGAAAGACTCTACAGTTTTAACAATCATTATTATTTTGTTGGGTCTTTATTTTTTTTGTTATACCTGAAAATGGTTGGAAAATACTGTGATGGTCATCTATGGCATTCTGGTTCTAATAATTTGGCTGTTGGCTGCAACTTTCTAGGAGAAATTTAGACAGGCCAAGGGCTTGCATTTAACAAAAGAACGTAGCCTTTGCAATATAATTTTCGCTTCTTTATTATTCTAATTCAGCATCTATACAGCCCAATTTTTTTCCGTTTCATCCAGCAGGTTAATGCAAAAAAAAAAAAAAAATCATTTCACCTTTTTTTGTCTCCCCGAAGTTTGTATTTCTCCTATTTTCTTTTCTTTTATTTTTTTATACACCAATCAGAAGGTAAGAAAAAAGGATTCTTGTTCGGAAATTTTTTCAGTCCTCATGTGTTCAAAGCTACGTTCAGGTAAATGGACGCTTTATTAGTTCCATTAATATTCTTTATCTGCATGCCATCTTGACTACTCTGTGAAGAATGCCCTTCGTTTCGAATGAACTATTCTCAGGTCTTTGCCTTCGGCTAAAATTTACAGCAAATTAATTAAGCCCCAAAAAAAGGTCAAAAATAAAAAAGCAGCAAACAAGCTGGAGAATAAAGTTAGAAGGGAAACAGCACAATACATATAGTTTTATTCAAATCCTAGGATTCTATATATGTTATCGCCGTTGACATATCAAAAGAAATATACTACGCAATTTAAGAAAGGAAAAAGTTAATTTGGATAAGATTGAACTATGCTTCAAGCTTTTAATTTAATTATTAATGACATTTGAAGAGACATTAAGAGTTTAATGTCGAATCAGATCTTTTTTCTTCTTTTTATTTGTGTTAAAATTTTGCTTTTCTAATGTAATAAAAAAAAAGAAGAAAAAACTATGTTTTAAGCTGAAAGGAATCGTGACAACACTCTCGTCAGAATAACTGAATTGATATGTGTTTGATTGATACACTTGTACTCGCATCTTAGGAAGATAAAAATTCTCCACATTTTAGCCATGAAAATAAATATAGGAAACAATGAGAAATGCTACCAACCTGGATACTTGATTATCAAGCGTTTTTTTTTTTTTTTCTACCTTTGATTTCTTTTCATCAAAAGGGAGAAGCATCTTCAAGAAACTGATCAGACACGAAGTTAAGTGGCTCCTTTGGATCCATTGCAGTTATTGATTCCCACCAGAAATTCATAATTACTATTATATAAATGTCAATCTTATGGGACTTGCTACTACCCTTTAAGGACGTCTACAGTTAATGTTCTTGATTTTGACTCGCTATTATTGTTCTGCGCGTATGGAATAATTTCATTATTTCCATTTTAATCTTACCTAAGCGCCATTTACAAGTGTTGAAAAACCCCTGGAAGAAGAGGAAGACTACTGATGCAAACGGAGGGTGAAACAAATTTTATGTGGATTTGATTTCACCTGATGTTTTTAGTCTCGAGAATTTTCCAGTAAAAAGAAGTTTTTCATTGTGCTGCAAATTTACAATTAACCAATTAAGAGTTCTGTTCCAATGTTAGATTATATGCAATGAAATTTTATAGTGGTAACTGTAAAAGTGTGGTTTTAAGAGGGGAAAAGTATGAGAGATTAGATACGTGTCATTATAGGTGGAAAGCTGGAAGATACCATCAATTTGTTTAACAAAAATTGCGGCTTTTTGAAAAATGAGAGAGAATATAATTTATTAACGATGTTTTATTTTCATTTGGAAGATGGTACTGACATGTATAAAAGTTGACAATTTAAGTGAAATTTGATTGACTTAGGAGGCCAAATGTAATGTCTGGCTTAATCACACCAACCTTCCTCACTATATTTATTGTTAAATTGGTTTCTTCACCGAATTCAGTATTCTAAATGAAGATTCTTCTTTTTTCCGTCTGTCAGCACACCATTTATAGAAAAAATTGCATCAATCTTCTTCCATTTCAGTGTTCAATTCATCACTGAAAAACAGTTTACACAAGTCACAATCAGCTCCAGCTACCAAATTGACTTCCCTCTCTACTCTGTGAGCCTAAAATTCTTCCGACTTGCCTAGCTCACCTAACTCGTTTTTTTTTAATCCAAAAGCAAACAAAATTTCCTATGCTTGCTATTTGTCTGATCAACAGAACACAAAATCTTGTAAGTTTCAAAGAGATGATCACTGACACTTTAAAAACCCACAATAAATTGAAAAAATCTGCTTCTAATTTTAAACTGAAGAAGGACCAATAGCATTACCTATTATTGCAGTAATGCTTAGCCAGTAAAAAGGGGTGAGCATATAAAACTAAAACGTTTAAGTGGTCGGTCATAAATAATAAAATCCGGATTGAAAACCATGGTCTCTTTCATCATTTCACATGTTGCAAACCACAACAGAACATATTGGGCATGCAATAATAAACAAGGACAACTCGTCCTGATGGGGAAAACTTTTTTCCTCTCTTTTTACAGTTCATATTCAAATGTGTTGTCGAATTGTGCGTGTGTGAGAGATATGGAAAAATCACAGTCAAAACCCAAATAGAAAATTCACAAATGATTACAATAAAATAGGATAAAATATAACAATGTTCATTTTAATTATAATTGTATTTTAAAAATAATTATTTAACTATTAATTTTAATTAATAATTTAAGTTTAAATAAATATTTTTTAATCATTTATTTATTAATTTTTAAATACGTATTGATGTGATACTTATCAAACACCATATAAGATGGTCAAGTTTTTTATGTCAATTATCAATAAATCACATAACATTTTTAAATAACATGTCAGTGTAACATGGCATATGATCATTAATGTAATAGTGTCACATCAAAACGTGATTAAAAATTGAATGAAAAAAATTTTACTAGAATTTAAATGGTTAAATTAAAAAAATTAATAAGTAAGTAATTATTTTCAAACCATTAATATAATTGGATGATTAATTATGTATTTTATCCAATAAAATATAACAATTAGTTGACTAATATGATAATCTCGTGGGTCGTGGCGCGTTCTACTTCTGTCACGCATGCCCCTTCTTTTACTCGTTTATTATGAGAAAAAATTATTGTTTACCTTCTTGTCAAAAACAATTTATTGTTTACTTCGCCGATCTTTATATAATCCCCTCTTATCTAATGTCCTGGTAAGCTTATCTTCTGTATCTTCAACAACAATCCAAATCCCAAATCAGATCTCTCTCTCTTTCTCTTTCTTCGATTATTGCCCTTGGTTCTCCGATTAAAAGCAAACTGTTTTCAGTTGACAAATGGATGTTTACGAGAGAGGTTTCAAATCTGAAGCTCCACAAAGTGAAAAAGAGATGGACGTAAGGAAAGGTCCGTGGACTGAAGAAGAGGACTCCATGCTCAAGGCATATGTCAATATTCATGGTGAAGGTCGCTGGAACTCTGTTGCTCGCTTATCAGGTTAATAATTTCTTCCATGAAACATGTCTGCTTCACTGAAAATCGATGAAACCTAAGAATTTTCAGCTTGTATGCATCTATTTTGAACATATTTTTTGTGATACTGATATGACATAAATTTCTACAGGATTAAAAAGAACCGGCAAAAGCTGCAGATTAAGATGGCTAAACTACTTGCGACCAGAAGTCAGACGAGGAAGCATCAGCCTCGAAGAGCAGCTGTTGATTCTTGAACTCCATTCTCTCTGGGGCAACAGGTTTTTGCTTGACTCCCATATTGCTTTCCTCATTCCTGAAATTCAATAAACATATGGTTGGTTTTGGTTAACTTGTATAATTTTGATCCTGAAACTCTGAAGGTGGTCAAAAATTGCACAACACTTACCTGGAAGAACAGATAATGAAATAAAGAACTATTGGAGAACAAGAGTCCAGAAGAAGGCAAAGCAGCTTAAATGTGATGTTAACGGTAAAGAATTCAGGGACACCATGCGTTACGTTTGGATTCCCCGTTTAATGGAACGGATCCGTGCTACATCCGAGTTCCCCTCAGGTCAACCCTCAAGCACCACCTACATGGAAAGTATCAGCAACTTAACCACCAGTCAAATCGGCTATGCAAACTCAACTGGGTCGGTCCAGTTTGACTCACGTCTCCTGCCCGAGTTATCAGGCACTTTATCAGACTCCCGGGACACCCAGGTCTCTTCCGTTTCAGATCTAACAGATTCTTACAACGCAAAAAGCGTTTCAAACTACCCGAATAACTTACAAAAAAGTTCGGTTTTGTGCCCGGAGAATTTAGCTGGCATGTGGGGTAGGGATGATGGTAAATTTCGGGCGACAGAGGAGCAGAGAATTGGTTGGTTGGGTGGTGGGGACTCGATGGAGAATTTGTGGAATGAAGAGAATATTTGGTTCTTGCAGCAACAGCTTTATGATGAGATATAATGATATGAATTCGCTTACGTGACGTATCAAGTCTTATATTTAAAACATTTTCGTCATTCTGCTATCTGATGGAGTATATTAAAAACCAAAGATTCGGCTAAGCTAACACCACAATTTGAGAACGTTTGGAATGTAAATGATTCACGCAACAAAGTCAGGATGATAGAGGTATATAGCATTAGAGTATTCTGAAGTATATCAATTGCACAATTTTGTTTTATTGCTGTTCGAGTATTCATATTTTCCTTTTTATTAAAAACAATTTTACTAGTAAAAAGCACTACTTCTAGGAGGAAAGTCTCCCAGAGGAACTAGCAGCAGAGTTTATAATCTTCTTCAATTTGGTGTGTTTTACAAGCCTAAAAAAATGGTCTGTTTCATTTGTAAGCAATCTAAGAATTACGAGCCAATGAAACCTTGTGAAAGGAAGAATTCTTGGATAATATGATTTTGAACAAAAGATTTCTGAGTTCTGAAATCAGATTCCACCGATAATGAAATTAATTATGTTGGATCAATATATTCAGGAAGAAAAACTTTTGCACAGTTTATCCGATAGCAGGTCAAGAAGTTTGGTTTAATATTCTATTTATGTGGAACAAGTGTCCAACTTCAAGGCATCCATGCAAGCTATTTAGGTTTTCTTTTCTCTTTTTTTTTTTTTTTCACTTATATTATTTATGGGTGATCAAATATACTAATAAGATTTCTGGAAGATAAAGCGTGCAAAGTTTTTTTTTTCTTTCTATATATAATACATAAATATATAATATATAAACTGATCATGTCTCTTTGTTAAAAGCATGTAACGCTTTTAACTTTTGAAAATTTATTCATCCAATATTGTTCTCTTGGTCTTACATTGAAATGGAATACAATTTTTTGTGAGTTTCATGAGCAAGAAAATATGTCTTTCTTTTTTATTTTGTCATTGCAAACTCTGAATTTATTTAGTGTGGAGTCTAAATCGATTGGACTCAATCTAGTGTCAAACTTGAATGTTTATTTTTTAATTTTTTCTTTTCTTTATCATTGTATTTATCATTATTTTATTCTATCGCTGTCCTTATTTTATATATTTTTATGTTGTATTTATTTTTATTTTTATTTTATTTTATGTTGCTTATCTTTTTCTTTATTTATTTTATTTATCATTATTTTATTTATTTATATTTTATTTTACTTCTCATTTATCTTTATCTTTATCTTTATTATTTTACCTTTCCCTATCGCTTTTTTTTTTTATAAAAAGTAAACAAAAATAAAAAAAATAAAGAAAGGGTTTGGCTAATATTGAAAATTTTATCGGTAGTGATAATTTACAAGTTGAATTTAGGTTGGATTCTTGAAGATATTTTTTTATTTTTGTAAATAAATATTTTAAGATTAAGATAAGAATTTGGCTGATAATAAAGATTTTTATAGCTCTAATCTTTTAGGATCTTATTGTGATCAAGACACTTTTTCTATAAATGCCTAAGCATTAATCAACACATGACATAATAATCACAAAGAAGAATTTAGGAGTAAAACTGTTTTAGGCAGTTCAAATTTAAATTTTAGGCTTTTTTTTTTTGTTCTCGATGATTTTTTGATGAGATTCTCAAATTCTAACAAGATTTCGAGATTGTTGTGACATTTTTCAACTAGCATTGAAGTTTTTTATGGACATTCTAATGATATCTCCATATTCCAATGACAATTCCCAGTTTCCTAATTATCAACTTAATCTGACCCGACTTGATCCAATCCATAATGTCTAACCCAAGATCAATCACCCATTGAGCCACTATTGAGCCGAGTCGTTGAGCCGAAGCCAAGCCGTACTATAGCTGAGCCACCATGTGTGCCTTAAGTCGAGTGGAGCCATTATCTGTGCCTTGAGTTGAGTGGAGTGGAGCTGCATTCCTCTTGAGCCGAGTCGTTTCATTTTTTTTATGTTTTATTATATTATTTCATTATATTTATTTATTTAAATTAATTAATTTTTTTAAAATATACAATTTTTAGAATCAAACTCTCGAATCCTATCAAACTATTGAAAGATTTAAATTAGTTTAAAATTATTTTAAAATTATGAATTATGCTAAACTATTGAAAATTTTATAAGAAAATTAATCAAAATATATATTTCTTTTTTTTTAAACTAATCCTACCAAATTATTGGAAGATTTAAATTTCAAAACTAAATCTTATTAAATTATTGGAAGGTTTAATTATATTTTTCTTAAAATATATTTTTGAAGTCAATCTTACCAAATTATTGGAAGGTTTAATTTTTTTCAAGAAAATGAATTTTTTAAATTAATATTATCAAATTATTAGAGGATATATTTCGCAATAAAATCTTAACAAAATATTGAAAGATTTATTAATTTTAAAAATAATAAGTCTTTGAAAGAATCTTAACGAATTTGATGACGGAACATTTTTAGAGAGTGACAGTAGTCTCCTTAAATACTTTTGAGGTGAGAAAATGTTCTTAATTTACTATCAAACTATTAGAGTAATTTTCAGAATAATTTTCAATATTAAATTATTTGGTAAATTAAAAAAAATGTTTTAAGGTTAGATAATATGAAATAAACTTGTACCATTTTTTGGATGGATGTTGTAGAGGTGCTATAACTTTCCCTGCACATAAAATACTATTGAACTCAATTTTGATTTTGTGGACTAAAATCTACTATTTTAAAGAACTTGAGTCAAGCTTAGGATTTCTTTTAAAAAAGGAATCGATTTAGTTGGATCACCAATCACACCTAAAACAAAAGAAGATTAGTGGTAACTCCCAAAGTTATACCTAATAATAGGTTCACGGATTTAGACATTCTGACAAATTCGAGACTCTACTTGAGACAACCAAGAGTCAAGCCAATAAATGAATTGTGTTATCTAAGCGTAATTTAATAAATTTGATATTTTTCTTTTAAAATGTTTTTCTTTATTTACTTTCAAGCATTTATTATTCAGTCATTCATATGTATTTCATAGCATGAGCTCTATAAATGGGCTTTGTCCCTTATGAGAAAGTAGAGTACTTACGCTTTCATGAGATTTCATATCTCCATATGGGCTAGAGAAATACCCTCATTTGAATTTTGCCCTTTCTGTCGGTAACCTATAATGGGTGAAAATTAAGTTGCCTTACTAGTCTATAATGGACAATGATGTGAGAAGTAATTTGAGAGTCTTTAGATTCAATCCAAGCTACATATAGTCGAGAACCTGCTAATTAGGCATAAAAATCATTGAGTCACCAATAATCTTTTTTATCTAAGTGTGATTAGCCGCTTATGTGAATCTACCTCTTTTAAGGTTGTCTTAAACTTAAACTAAGGGTCCTTACAAAAATAAGTTTTGGTCTACATCAATATAACTAAGTTCTGGAGTTGGTTACTATTGCTATCCATTAGAAGTATCGCAAGTGTATGGGTCACAAAAGTAATAAAGATTGAAAGTATTTCGAATATCGTCTCTTTAGAGATATGAAAGTTCTAAACCTAGGGGTAATTACCAATTTCAACCTTTCAGGTATATCTGGTTCTATGAAATTTTTTTTCTTTTAAAGATATAATTAACCTAAGATTGATCTAATAAACTTACCAAATAATTAAAACCTAAATTTAACTACAAATTATAAAGGTTAAAAATCTCTAAGGAAAATTACCAAAAAAAAATCAATTTTCTAAAATGGCAGATTACTAAAAATGGAAAGTAACAAAATCAAAAATTCAATTAAATATAATTTAAATCATAATTTAAATTTCAAATTTAAGAGTAGTGGGATGGAAAATAGAACGTGGAATTAGCAATAAAAAGTGAAATTAACCTAACAAAATATAAAAAGTATAACTAGCATTTTAATTTAAAAATGAACTTACTTAAAATCCTAATCTAGCCTAGAATGCATGAAAATGTATGGAACAAAAATCAAACATGAAAATAGCACAGAAATGCATGGAATGATGTCCTAAAAATAAAAATTAAAGGTTACCTAAAAGCTAAACTAAAATCCTAAATGAAATGGCCATCAATTTTCATTGAGGCATTTCATCGAACATCTAGTATACTATATGCAAGCTCCTAAATTAACTAACCTAAATCCTAAGACATACAACCAGAATTAAATCTAAGCTAATCTTAATGAAAATGACAATGAAATATGTATAACAACACATAAAATAAATAAAAATTGCTAAACTCCTTAATTAAAACTAAATACAACCTAGCCTACTTTACTGAATGAAAATTATCTAACTCTATATGGTACTATAAAAACTAATTGAACTAAATAAAAATAGACCTAAAAATGAACTAAAATGATGCATGAAAGCATATTTGAAGACCAACCAAAAATACAAAAATTTAAAGTGTAAAACCAAACCGAAAAATGCACACTACATGCAACCTATGGCCTAAAATGCTATGCCAATTTAACCTTACCTATGGAGTTTGCAAAAACTTTTTTTCTTCCTTAAAATAGACTAAAATATAAACCAAAAAATGCATGTGACGCCTCCCTAAAACAGAACACAAAATCCAGAAAATTAAATGCAAACTGAAATACTAGAATGCATGGACACTAAAACCTATCAACTAATATGCTTGGCAAACGTAATCCTACCTAAGGAATTTACAAAAACTATTTTAATACTTTAAAATTGATATAAAAACAAGAAAAAAAGGTGCAAGAAAGTTTTGCCTGAAACTAACCAGAAAATGAGCAAAACAGTTTTCAAACCAAAAGCAAAATAAAGGCCTAAAATGAAAATCTAATAAGCTAACTACTACCTAAAATAGAAAAATGCATAAATGTAACATGAAATCTAAGTCTAGAATCTTAAAATAAACATGAAAATGAACAAAAAAATGTCGAAGAACTTCACCAAAATAGAACAGCAAATGAATGCAAGGCAGCTTTGAAAACTAATAAAGAAAAATGCATTTAAATGTATGGAAACCAAAACTACTCCCTAACCATTTCACCAAACATAAACCAACAATTTTTTTTTATCATCTTATCAATGCAAAAACATTATAAAAACATGCACCAAAAACCACTTGACATAACATAAAACAAAAAGAAAAATGGGCAAAAATTAATACAAAGTGAAAGAGGATGAATTAAAAAAAAGAAAAAGAAAGAATCAAGTTTCTTAGGCCCCCATGATAATTTTCTCAAGCCAAGGCCACCTTGGACTATCCTCCATTTCCAATCAAAAGCTCAAACATAAAACATAATAAGGCAAAAAATAAAGAAGAACCAAAGCTAGGAAAAACCAAAAATGAAAGCTAAAATTCATTGCCAAAAATGTAAAGAGAACAAGAGCAAAATGTAAAATTCCAAGCATCCTCCCTAAAGCATAAGTAAAACTCCTCTTAAATACATCCAAACAACATCAAATAATCCCCTAAAAGTCAAGGCAAGATACGCAAAAGGTGGCTTGCCAATGACATTAGAATAGGAAAATGGAAGAAGAAAAAAAAATGCTACAAGCAATGACAGGTTTGGCTATCTCTTTTGTCTCCTCATAATGTCCTACTTAACCCATAAATGGTTTATTGAGCCATCCAAACTTTCTTTCTTTTGCTCTCTCCTTTGCCAATTCTCCTTTGCCCTGTCCTATTTTTTGCTTGCTTTTTACAATCAATGTAGCTCTAAACTCAACTTAAAGCTCCTCCAAATCAGCTTGTACAGTAGCTCCCTTCAAGCAAGTCATCTTATGCGAGAAAGGAAAGCTCCACATGCCTTTGTTGGTACTCATGGCTTAGGGCTTCATGGTCATGTATTGGCATTTTTTTCTTCTTCTTCATGGCTCCATTTTCTCATGGAAAATCAGTCTGCTCATCTCTTAACAGCCTTTGAATTACCTTGGCAAATTTCCTACTAGGTTTGGCCATTGTTTGCATGATGACACTAGGTGCGAGCATGGTGTTTGGTTTTTCCCTACACATGAAATTTAGAGAATTTAGGTGGATAATCAAGCAAAATTAAATCAAG